TATGCTTAATATTTATTTTTCATCGAGTCATGTGGTGAGGTCGTCGGGCCACACATGATGACATTTTATTAGAGTCCGCACCACATATGTTATTTGGCTCTGGATTGATTGAAGAGTAGATGTATTTTGCTTAAATTCTACTTAAACCTACTGTTTGTGATTCTTTTATAGCACTTCTTTTGTAAGTTGTCGATCAGCTGGAGCATCCACGCAAATACTTAATATTCGTTCTCCATCTCCCAAATGATGGGATACGCATCAATCGCCATTTCAACGGCAAATTATTGCATCCGGTCACAGGACGCGGAAAATAAGTTCGGACATCCAATAAAAATTTGCCGCGTCATCTGCGCTTTAGTTGCGCTTTACCTGCGCTTAATTTAAAATAATATTTTATTAATATCCGGACCTATCTCTACGTCCGATGACCGGATGCAATAATTTGCCCATTTGAACATGCCATGATGATAAGCTTAATATTATATTTATGGGTCATTTCATTTCGCCCTAAAACACAAATGCATTTCAAATGCATTTCAAGGTATTTTGCTCTATCAATTCAAAGTCTAATTATATATCCCTCATAAATATCAGGCTATGCGTGGAGCCTCAATAGTCATTCTAATCAATCTTAATTTGCGGACAAAAGAAGAAGAGAGATTATTACATACAATTAAGAGACTGTCCAGAGATTAATCATGACGCTTGACATCATTAGATATACAGTGGCATACAGTAACAATACACAGCATGTTAGTGACATGTCGCTTCCTGATTGACCTCCGGATAACATCTAGGGACCGCACGTAATAATTTCACTAGCAAAAGACATTAATATTGACCTTAATTCTATTGGAAGGGTGAGATTAGTTAAATGACATCCAAATTAGCATAAATGCAATAAGAACCTAATTAAAACATTTCTGTAAATTTGGATCAAGTGATGTCAGTTATGACAAGGCTCGAGTGGATTCTTTAAATTTATCGTAACACAATCAAATTTAACTGGACTAGTCGATAAATGCATCAAAGAGGCATTTCAATAATTTATAATTTCTAGCAAAATTTTGGGGCTATTGTATACTAATATTTTCATTTGAATCAGGACATCAAATTACATGAGAGATCTAAATCAACTCAAAGAACTCATCTAGTGTTGAACCTCCTTACCTCTAGTTAAGGCTTCATTTCAGACGGTTTTTTTATTACTTTTTAAAGCAGTTTTTTTTATTAAAAATTTTAATTTTTTGTACTAAAATGCTACTTTAAAAAATAACAAAAAATTCGTCCCAATTGAAGTCTAAGTTCTGATGTTGGCTATTCTAGATTTAAGTTTTGACAGACTTTTATTAAGTAGCTAGTGGCTCACTTTCTTATTGATGAACATGGATGTCAAAGCCTAGTTGCCAAACATGACCTGACAATCAATATCTCTTATTTAGGTGACCAACTCCTTAGCTACATTGACTTGGAAATAGGCATAATCCAAGACTAGCTTTTGAAGTTTTCCGTTGCCTAACTACTAATTGGCAACCTAATTTTATTCTTGTATTGTCTATTATGCAAAATTGGCTTTAATCATCACCTACAAAATATGAGGTTGTTACATGTTAAAAAATTTATGACGTTAGAGGGTGGATTTAACAATTTAGTGTTGTATAAAGGTCTAGCACACAAATATATATACGTTGTACGAGATTAAAATTTTTCTATGTAGAAAATTTGAAAAATGAAAAATCACTTTGCATAACTCAATTTTAATAATCCACTATATAATTATAAGTATAAGAATTCACTCTTCTCCGTAGTCATAAAAGATAAAATTGCACAATTTTTTTTTTTAATTTTTTATTTTATTTTTATTGTTGGGATTTAGAAGTTGGGTGTCTACAAGTGGATAGTTGAAGTCGAATAACAAAATTGGATGGTAGTAATCAAAAGACAATAATCGGATGATGGAAATCAGACGATTAATTAATGTGATAGTCATTATTAATGGTTGTCTCAATGATGATCCTAGGAAATATAATAGAATTTTTTATCTCTCTTAACTTTCAAACCATTTAAAAAATAAAAAAGGCCCTATTTATATGTTTTTGAGAGAATTTTTTGGTAGTTTATCCAACATCTAAAACACTGTATTAAACAACCCACATTAATCTCTTTGACTTTAGACCATTTATCCACAATTTGTTTACCATAATGATGTGAGAATCAAATAATTTTAGGACCATAGGATTTGTCTCGTTGAGTCACTTAATTTGACTATAAGCATGCAATATTTGAAGAATATTTGGTTCTTCAATTAATATTTTGAAGTTTCTAATTATTTTCTTAATTAGTGCTTAATTTAGGTTTAATTGGAGTCGGATCAAATTATTTGTGGTTTTGATGGTTTCTCTCATCGAAACATTCAACTTGATTATATGTTTGTTGAAATCGGAGTTTGAATGAGCCTGAATTTAACTACGATAGTTTAAATCACAAATATTGGCTAGAGATTCATACCGATTAAGTGAGTTTTTCGAGCTATATCATTTGCCCCCTATTTTTAAATGTCAAAGATTTTGTCCTTCATATATAAAGTTCATGAATGTTTGTAATCAAAATGTTGAAAGTGCCCCTCATAAGAGACTGAGTCCATATCTTTTTCAGATCTTTGAGACATTACTTGAAATCTCCTCCCTCAAAATGGGGTTTTAAAATTTTGAGATTTTCAAATAAATCGAAGAAATATGTATCTTAAGAGGCATTAACCTTCTAAGGTTCTTGATGAATCTCTACATTATGAGGCTCTTAGCCTTTCAAGGTCTTTTATGTACTATATCTAATGATGCTTATATCTTCATATATATATATATATATATATTTATCAATCAAGTACCTGTCCACTGAATACAATCATTTAATTTAATGTCTATTGATGAATCTCAAAGAAAATATGAGAGTACTTCCTCTAATAGTAATAAGAAATAAGCATGTATTTCACCCTAACGTGCATTATAAGGCATTTATCTTTTGAGACTTTTGGATAAGTGGAGACTCTATCAATCACCTATTCTCATAGAATTTTTCTTGCAATGATTATAACTCTAGGCATTGTGAAAAGAGACCTTGTCTATCAATTACCCTTATATGGTCTTTCTAGTAGAGACCCTATCCGCTACTAGCTTTTGATCAGGGCTATCTCCTGGGTGTGCATTCCTAAGGGATTTTTCTTAGATGGAATAGTATTTATAAAAAGAAGGCTTAGGCTTCGTTTGGGACGGCTTTCTTACCGCTTCTTAAAACATCTTTCTAATTCAAAAATTAAAATTTGAATAAGAAAGTTGCTTTAAGAAGCGGTAAGAAAGATATCCCAAACGAAGCTTTAATTAACAACTTAAAAGCTGATCTATTTATTCAAAATTTTGATAGGTTATAATAATAAACCTAAGAATTTGACATATCGGTTGTAATATTAACCTAACAACTTATTTTCGATGACATACATGCCTTACTCCGGACTAGCATCGCAAGTCATCAGTACTTGATCGACTGCAAGTAGTTGATTTAGATCATCTAATGTAATTCTACTTTTATGCTTCTCATGATCTCATCGTGATGGCTTTAATCCTCTTCCATAAATAAGAAATCTATTAATGTTAGTTGCATGACACTCGTCATGTGATTGTAGTGATGATGCCATGCATCTGAAGCATGGAATTCAAGAAAATCATAATTTCCTACTTCTCTCTCTCTCACTCTCTCTCTCATGCAAAATTTGTGCACTTCAACTTGGTTCTCTGTTCCTCCTTGTCACCCGAGCTCGAATCCCCTAAACGACCCCCTCCCCTCAAAAAAATAAATAAATAAATAAACTTAGTTCCCTCAATTGCACTATTTTTATAATGATTCTCATGATAGACCTAAGAGCTTAAATCCCTGGCTATTTCATCAAACATCTGCAGTATTCATATAGTCCCTTGTATGATAATCTCAGTCAAATGCGTATCCTTCAAATCGATAATGACATCATTTGGGACGGCTTTCTACTGCTTCTTAAAGCATCTTTTTATTATAAACATTAATTAAAATGATGTTTTGAGAAGCATTAAGAAAGTCATCCCAAAAGAAACCTACATAAAAATTAATCTGAAAGTTGTAGGCACATCACAGCTCCTCAGAACTTTAATATACACTTACAAAACCATTAATTTGTTTTTCTTTTGATTTTAGACATAAAGAACTGACATTTAATTTGTGTTTCAGTGCGCCCAGTATTGCTGATAATGTATAGAATAATACAAATAACAACGTACTAATTAAATATGACAAAAAAAAATAGTTACATTCACCTATTAATATCTTGTTTCCCGGCCATTAATCCGAAGGGTCATTCTCATTAGGCTAGTCATAACAAAAGGGGACCAGATAAATTAAAATAAGGCGACAATTGAAAAGAAAGCATTAGTCTTGTGAGCGATGAAGTGCAAGTATAGCTACATGGAGAGAACCACACAGGTGAAGGGAGGCGCATTAAACTAGGAGGCAGGAGAAGGCAGGCTCACGAGGGGTTGGTTGCTGTGGTGGACCAGGGCTTAAAAGAAAATTAAAATATAAATAAATAAATAGCCATTATCATCATCGATCATGCATGACTTTCAGATTATTAGGTGAGTAATTTATCTTAAAAAGTAAGAATAATACAATATAATCTCTCTTTAGTGTTTATAGAGACTCTTATGATAGGAGAAATTATTCTCTGAGGACGTCGAATGCAGTTCATCATTCAGAGACCAACAAGAATGCATCACGTCGGCAGTACCGAGCCGTGGTACTGAACGGGGGTGACGTGGCGCATTCTGATTGGTCTATGAACGACGTTTGACATCTGCACAAAATAATTTGCCCTATAATAGAGCTATCATATAATTTATGTAAAGCAAAATGATTTTATAAGTATGTCATATTATTTGTGTTCATCATTCATTTTTATATTAGGAGCCCTCATCTAATTTTGTGACCATCGGAAAGCTCCATAGATTCTCCTTCAATTCTGCAATATATGCCTCGCTTCCCTTCTCCCAATCCCTTAGGTCGCTCATATATACTCCATCTGCTTTGCTTTGCTGGTGTGAGGAAATATTGGAGTTCCAGATCAGATATGTATTGCTTTGTTGGTGTGAGGGCTTGAAGCTGCCAGCATGATCTGTTCACTCATATACCAGGCATCGCCGGAGTCTTTTGTTTCTTATAATTTATCTTCCATCTTTGTATTCTTCTTCTCCGGTGAGCTCTTCAATTCATCTCTCTCTCTCTCTCTCTCTCTCTCTCTCTCTCTCTCTCTCTCTCTCTCTCTCTCTCTCCTCTCCATATTGGAGTGGTTCAATGATCAGATCATCTTGCAGCTTCAATCACTCACTATCAGCAAAAGGCCCTTTAGATTGTGTTGGATTTTCTGATGATCTCTGCAACATATATTTATGCATGGTTCAGATTCCAGCAAATCAAGAGGTAGTAGAATGCAAAATTAACTCCATAATCATATACATGTATATTATTAATTCTTCTAATTAGTTCTTCGCAGTCTTTAATTTTTCCGATTTTTCATACCCGTATGAACTGTTGTCGGTCTAGGATCAATGAATTTGCGAAGTGATACTGCTCATGATCATATGAGGACGAAAATTATATAGACCAGATTCATGTAACTCGTAAAATTACTGATTTTTTTAAACTTTAATAACTTTTAGGTACACATACATGAAGATAGAAGTTTTCCTTAGATGGTACTATTTTTGTGAATTTTGTACAGAATTGAAGTCTTGCATAGGCTGAAGGCTCTTGCCAAATTTCGTAAGTTCACTAGTATTTCCCATATTATCCATAGGAGAATAGCTATTTTTTTTTTTCTTCTCTCTCTCTCTCTCTCTCTCTCCCCCCCCCCCCCCCTTGGTTTCCACCCCTTTGTATTCATGCAGGAATTAGCGAGATATCATATAAGATTGACAAATACAATCGACCACAGTGATCGAGTAATTGTCTTTTTATACGAGTAATTATTCTTTTCCTAATGTTTTTAGGTTAATTATGTACTACATTTGGCTTTTAACATCGATGAGGCTCTATAACTTGTTTATATTTTATTATAAATCATGTTAGTTTGCATTATATGTTCTAGTTTGATTAATATATATAGCATAATCATTAATCTATCAGCTGGAATATGAGTCTTCATTTTGTTGGGAAGTAAATCATGCAATAAAACAAATGAGAAAAGTAAACAATGAAAATAAACACTAGGATTTAATATGGAAAAACTTGAAACCCGGAAAAAATATGAAGTCACATCACACCAAGAAATTCACTATAAAAAAAGAAGAACTTGTACAGATCTCTATCTTTGATCACTCTCTCTGAATCTCACTTCACGTTTTCACACCGTTTTTATCTTAAAACTAAAAAAGAGATATACATCTACAATTTCAAGGGACGTAACCCTTCAACTTAAACATTAGAAAAGAAAAAAAAAAAATAAACTATCCAGCTCAACTCGTAGTGTCAAGGTTTGGAGTGTCGCAGCACGTCAATCTAGCGCTCTACCTCCAGCCTAATAACTCACAGCGCTGACTCTGAAGCGCCACAATGCTCAACTCACTGTCTCCATGTCAAGATGACAACAACATGATGTTGCATCTTACGACATTGTAGTACACGAGAACATAGCATTGTATGTGATACGGCTATACAGAACCACGACCCCCGAACCTCATAAGTAGGGGGGGCCCCCTTCAATCCCCCTTGCATGCGACGAGCTCGAGCGAATTAAGATCTGAGTCAACAACACTATTCAATTGATTAACATAATCAAATGCCATAGGAAAGGTATTACTAATGTGGCTATCAAGGTGGAAACTTTGCTTTTAATTCTGATTATTCAAAATGAGAATGTGGGGACATCCTAATATTTTCTAGGTTATTAGAAAAATTAAACAATTGCTTGCTGACCTGAATTATACTATAGCCCATGCTTATCGTGAAGGCAACGCATGTGCTGACTGGTTAGCCAAATTTGGGTGTCAACTTGTGGCTGTTTAGGAGTTTGAGCAGGCCAATTTGCCTTCTATGTTAAGAGGTTTAGTCAAGCTGGATAAAATGGGTTTACCTTATATTAGAACTGATTAATGGCTGTTTTCTTGTTTGTTTGATGGGTCTGTTATATCTCTGGTACCCTTGCTATTGTAGTTTGTTTTCTGGTAAGTTTGTCTGTTTGGGATGCTGGTTCTTCCCCAGTTTTGGGGTGATTTCTGGGAGGTGGTGGTTCTGTTGTTCAAGCAGCACCTGGTTAATTTGTTTCGGTTTCTATTTTGCTGGTTGGGGTTATCTGTACTTTGCCTTTTGATGTTGAGGGCTAGCTGCATTCCAGCTGGGTGATGGAGTTTGGTTGCTGGTTTCTTTCCTAATTGCTGGATTGCTCAGGTTATGAATGTGGATATGCTGGGTGTTTTTTATTGCTTGGGTTTAGGCTTGCATTTTATATTTATTTGGTCTGCTAATTTATTTGTTGATGTTCTTATAGGTGCCTCTAGTCTTCCGAGAACAAATCATCTCCAATTTTCTTGGGGCAGTGCTATGTACAGCTGTGTTGGTTTAATTCATATCTTGCTTTGGCTAGTCAGTGTTGGGCGTTTCTTTTCGATTACTGGTAATTATTGGTTAGTTGCAGTGTTTTTCTTTTGGTTTCTTGTGCAATTTTTTTTTTTGCAGGTTTTATATGGCTTGGAGGGAATTTTTTGGCAGAAAAATTGTTCTGAATGTGATTTTGTGGATCTTTCTATTTTTTTGGTGCTTGCTTGGTGCTGCCTTAGATTGTATCTAGGCAATTTTGTATTTTGGTTAGTATGGGACAATCGGCTCTTAGGTTTTCTTTCTTTTACTGTTTGTAGTTCTTCGAGCATTAGTGAGTTGATTGTCTCCTTAAGAAGACTATGTAATTTTGATTTATATTAACGCGTAGGCCCCTCCATGAATTTCTTCTAAAAATAAAAAAAATTAATTTCCACATAGAACCAACACATATAATATTATACATGACATATACAACACATTTAGCACACCATGAGTTTCATAATGCTTATTTATTATAAGAAACAAATATTTATCACCAGCTCTTAGTTTGACAGCAAATATCAATTATTTGAATTTGTCACATTTTTCTGAAACTATAATATCACAAATAATAATTAAATGTTCTTTTTAATTATATAAGCATGCATATTTAAATGTCAAATGATTTGATAATCAAAATAAGCATTACATGCATTTGTAAATAACACACATGATGAAAAGAAAAAGAAGAAAAAATTTACATCCCCTATATTAATATATTACATTAATGTTATATATAATTTGCATGATAAATTCAAAATCTTTGAATCTCGTTTTGATGAATTTTGCATGGAGATATCCCGACATAATTTTTTATTGAGAAAATTTCATTATACTTATTTCAGCATTTGAGTACCTTATCTTTATTTCTTTAGTTTGGCTATTTTGGTTGCATATAATGCACAAAACTTTAGAACAAGCATTAGTGTTCAAGTTTGTTTATTTAAGAATCGAGTATTTAAAATATTGTTCAAGCTCGTTTGTTTAGGTAATTAAATGATCGCGAACGAGCTTTAATCGAATCGAACAACGAGTAGCTCGCCGAACGTTTGGTTCGCTTGCAGCCCTACATATTACTTTATATCTTGCTATTTATATATCTATTACTTAAAATATTAATATTTCATATCTACTATTCATAGACAACTTTAATATGAAATATCACCCTATAAACTTTAATATTTCATTAATTGCACCCATATTTGATCTATGATTAGTAGGCATGAAATATTAAAACTTTAAGTGTTAGATATGTAAATAGTATAATATAAAGAGATATGTATGTAAATTGTTATTATTATTATAGTTGGTTCAATTAGGATATACATGCATGTAGTGGAAGAGAAACCATTGATATAGAAAAATCCAAAATAAATACTGAAATTAAAAACTAGTAGTTGCCTAAAAAAGCCAATGCAATTAAAAAAAAAAAACCAATGCAATGCTGAGACTATTATCAATAACAAACTTTAGAAATATTAGATTTTATTGTTGGGACTTATTTGTCACCTTATATTTAGCTTTATTCAACACGAAATATATGCGTATTTTGTGATTTCTCTAAAGTTATAAGTTATAACGGTCTAAGCATAACACCCAGGTCAATAATTATTTCACCCAAACATAGAATCCAATAAATCTTTATAAAAATGTACTAAGGAAAAAAAATCAAATATCTTCATAGGATAATGGGAGAAGCATCAATGGTGGCTAAAATTGACATCAAAATGTAAATAGAAATAATTGCTTTATATTCTCTAATATAATATCTCTTCTTTGCTAAACCAATTTAATTTGATTTACTTAGTTTGAGAAGAATTATAACAAAATTAAATTAAATTAATCAAATTAATTGAAGTTTTAAATTTTGTTTGGGATAGTTTTTTACTATTTTCTAACGTAAATTTTTAGCACAAATTTTTTTTACTAGAAAATTATTTTAGAAAGCATTAAAAAAATTATCTCAAATAAAGCTTTAAAGTCAATCGAATTCAAGTAATTTTTTTTTTATCAATTTATTTAGCTGATTTTTTTTCCACTCCTAAGTAGAAATATAAAGAAGAAAGGAATGTACAAACTATGGAGAATTGGACTATGAGATTTGTCTATTTTTTGGGAAAAAGTCACTTCAAGAAAACCTTGTAATAGAGAAGGCTATTTATTTTTTTTTTAATTTATGTTATAGGTTTCCGGCGGATAATCCACCGGAAACATGAACATGACGAAATTGTATCGTATTTCTGTCGAATATTTTGCACCGATATTTCCGGCGGATAATCTATCAGATTTTTTCGTTAGTAACTGTCTAGCGAAACTATCCAACGGATTATCCACCGGTAATTCCAGCAGATAAAATGCCAGAATTCCTTCCAAAAAAATGGCGCTTTGGTTACGGTTTTTTCGCCGGTAAGTCTGTCAGAAATATTTTCAGCGTATTTGTTTTGATGTAATTCAATTTTCAACTTGCAAATTACCGTCAAACAATTTTTCGCCAGAAAACGCATTTTACCGGTAGAATTTGATGTTTAACAGCGGATTTCGTCCGTCGGAATGGCCGATTTTCCTATAGTGAGTGATATAATGGAATATTAAATATTTAAAGAAAAGATCAAAGAGCTTAATATACAAATATGTCTACAGATCGAAAGATTTTAAAGGAAGTGAGGAAGAAGAGAAATGTGATATACCGTAAAAGAATGGAATATATAACATGTGTTGTTTTGTTGGTTTGGTTGATTTTTGAAGAATTGGTTGTAATTGAATTTTCATTATTTTCAGAAAAAAATTATATGCATTTTTATTACTGTATTTTACTATTTTATTTAAGTTAAGTGATAATTAGATTCATTATTAAAAATAACTATATTTTGAGACTCAAATAATATACAATTAATCAATCAAAATTCATATTATACTTCTCTCAAAATAAATATATTGACTTAAAAGAATTTTGAATGATCACATTGTCTTCACCAGGGGCGGAACCAGGTTCAATTTTGAGGGGGGGCAAATACAACATAAAAATAATTAAATATTAAAAAAATAATTACATATATTACGAAAAGTTAAAAAAAAATTAAGCAAGAAAAAAGAAGAAAAAAAGTGCAATTGAACTGTCATGAAAAGTATGAAAGAGAATATTAGAACTAAATATAAAGAAATATATATATATTTTTTAGGGCAAGTTAGAACAAAAGAGTTTTTTAGGGGGGGGGCAAAATCCGGGTCGGGTTTTCGTGTCGTGTCAAAAATTGACACCCCTAGCTGAAATATACGCTGCGGTAGAGTTTGTAATTTTACGTCCAAACGTTGTACGAATATTTAGCACACACAAACAGGAAAGAAAAAAATGAACACCATGATTTTTACGTGGAAAACCCGAAAGAGGGAAAAAACCATGGGGCCACGCCCAGTTGAAATAATTCCACTAGTGTTTATTTGAAGTACAGAGGCTGATTCGTCTCACAAGATAGGACGATCAGTTTACAATCAGTTTCCTCTAAATTGGAACAAAGTTAAAGTTCTGCGAAATTCCGACGTCTCCTGAAAATTCAGCAAAGTTCTGGCGTATTCAGGCGGCGGAAATAACTCCGGCGGTGGTCGAGGAGGAGATGATTCTCCTTTTCCCTTCTCTTCCTCTTCTCTCTTCTTGCTTGAGTCCCCTTTGTAAAGAATGAGGGCTATATTTATAGCTTTTCTGGAGTGGCATAGCTTGTAAATAGACGTGAGATCAAGGGCGAATAGGGAGTGGTCGAATGGACGGCTGATATTGAACCCTTAGATCGGACACCATTTGTTGGACATTTGAAGGCCTTAGTGATGCCGGAATTCAGCGATCTTGGGCTTGTTGGATTTGTCTTGTCGAGCCGCTCGATTCGACTATAAGCTCGTTAAAATCGAAGACCGTTCGGTAACTCAAATTGTGGTACAAGCTTTCCAACACCACTTCGGGAGCTTGATTTGGGCTCATTTGGGCTCGGATCGAGTTGAATTTGGTGTCATTGGGTTCATATTTCCGAGACTATCAGTTTGAGTATAAGCTCGCTGAAATTGGAGTTCGAATGCTCCCAAATTTAATTTATGAAGTTTCCAACTTGATTTTTGCACCGAGATTCGTGTTTGATCAAATAATTTCATGATGACGTATCATATATATATAAACAATGGGTGTTTCCATCCGGCCACTTTGTAGAGAATATATGAGTCCTGCCTTATTTTTTATCTTTCCTTCCAATAAAGGAAACTATTTGATTCCAAAAAAAAAATTGTCCTTCCTTTTATAAGAGTGTCAATATTTGACAAAACCTAAAAATTTGATCTTGTTCGAAAATTCTGGATTCGGATCAGCTTGTTTGAAAAATGGATCATATTCCTATTTCAAATTCTAGCCCAATTGTAAATTTGGATTGAGTTCAGTTCAGGTCAACTTGAAAATCCAAAATTAACTAGGAAGTGATATGTTTGTCTCGTCCGTCATGAAAGCCTCGCCCTCGCCCACTCGTAGCTCGCCCGCATGTGGCAAACCCGCTTGCATGCACATGCGCGCTCGTCCACACTCTCCCGCACAACCACCCGGGTTAGTGAATTGAGTGGAGTTGACCCGGGTTAGTGGCAGGCCGGTTCGGCTCTAAATTTCTATCACTTTTGTTTAATCGGGTCAGATTCATGTCAGATCAGTTAAAGTCAGGACAGTTTTGAGTTAGATTCGAACCCAACGCAAAAATCCATTTTAACACCCCCTATTTATTTATATGGAACTTGTAGAAATATTTTTTTTTTCAACCATGTGGTGAAGCCAAATCTGAGGGCCTATTTGGTTTTCTAAAGCAAGTTAGAAGGTGCTTGTTTTAGCAAACCAACAAAGATGCTATAAGCTCAAGATTTTATATATGCCTGTGTGTGAATTTGTAATTAAAGTATTCTATTATAATATTATTAATGAACCAAAGTCATCATAAGAATAAGCTGTTTTATAATCATGTTTTTCATAGCTTCATTTGAGATAATTTTCTTAATGCACGTCTCATTTAACTTAATTTTTTTTTAGAGAAAAATTAGTTTTGGAATGAAGTTTGATATTAATTTAAAACACAAATTTATAGCAAAAATTTCTTGAAAGTTGTGGAAAAATAATGGTCAAACAAAAGGTATTGTTGTGTTCTGAAAAACAAAGCATTAATAAAGCTTTCCCAAATGAAGCCTCAAGATGTAAGTGGGACGAGCTACCTCATGAGCTGGTTTGAACTTTACTCGTTAACGAACTCATAATTCGAGTTTATCGATCCACAAGCTCAAACTCAAGCCTATGCTAGAGCTGATATATTATATGAGCTCAAGCTCAAGCTCAGTCGTGCTCGCCTCTTAAGCTCGTCGAG